CTAGAGGATTTTGGCTGTTGGACTCCTTGACTATTTCCTTGATATTTTCCATATAGGTTGTCATGTTAACAAACGGCATCAGGGGTTTTGGAGCACATTTGGGAGCTCCCCCATGCCATGGCGGCCTGAAATGAAACATGTACGAACACCAAGGCATATTTCCTCATAATATCAGGGAACTTGTAAGTGTAGGTTTTGTTGTTCATAGTCTTACCATGCCGAAACAGAACCAGCACAGCGTGTGGCAAGGAACTTTGGTTTGACGAGCATGGCCGTCAACGATAGCAATGTTATGCATGGGCTTGTGTGTGTAGGGTGTAACCAGTTACTAAGAACTTACTGAGCCAATAGAAGATACACACTGGCTCCACCTTGTCTGTTTTTACTTTTCCAAGCTTACATGGCCTGACCCCCAGGAACCACAGCTGGGTTGTATCTCACTCTTGGAAATCATGCTGGATCTTTTTATCTCCTTTCAGACTTGCGGACCCGTGAATATACGGGGAAATAAGACCAGGGTAAAAGTGGCAATACCCCCTGATGTTCCCCCTTGGAAAGATGGCATTTTATTAGCTCCCCGATCAGACAGAACAGAAGCAGCTTCCAAGCCCGCTTCTTACACAAGCATCACATACCTGGCTTCTCACGCTGAAGTACCTGGAGGAGAAATTGGAAATTACTCCATACCGCCTCGAAACTGCATCACTCAACCTGTTTGGCTACACAAACGTGGTCCCCTCACTGTCCATCAGGCCTACTTTGCTCAATGGGAACCTTACTTCCCAAGGTTTAGGGTTCAGGGGTTTAGGGTTTAGGGTTTAGGGTTCCCTAACTCCTGGGATACGCAGCTTAAAGTATCACTTCAAGTTGGCCCGACTGCTTCCCTGATAGGTATCGTGTTTAATTCATTGTATAGTAGCCTACCCACGCGATAACGCTGGGGTATGTCATCGACAAGGATTTGCTTTAAACTTTTTGGGCTTCGTTATTTGGGCTCTGTAATCAAGTTTGAAGTTTTTTTAGGCCTGGTCATTGGGGAAGCGAGAGAATGGTAACCATAGAGAACACACAGTCAGAGCAGCATCGGTACCGGTGTTGGTCATTAATATTTTCTCGATAAAGTAATGACCCGATAAGCATAAATAATGGTCATGCGATGCTAGACTTTGAAGCCCTGCACATAGTAGTACGTTTGGCATCCGAACTCCTGGCTCTAGGGTGCATACGCCTGATGAATGTGGAAAGCCCACAGGCTAGCCAAACCCCAAACTCCAAATTCTAAACCCCAAACCCTAAACTCTGAACCCCAAACCCTAAACCTCAACCCCCAAACCCTAAACCCCGAACCCCAACCCCAAAACCCTGAACAGTGTAGTTGCGTCACGATCTGGGCCGTGGCCATCCTAATAGGGGCAGGGGAATCGGAAAGAACATGCAAGCTGCTAGGGACTATAGGGGGATTATGGGTTTGGGGTTTAGGGTTTAGGGATGGGGGTTTCCCAAAATTAGGGATACCATAATAACAAGGACCATATCACTTTGGGGTCTACACTGTGGGGCAACTACCATGCAGGGCTTGTATGGGGCGACCATGGGGATACATGGGGGTTAAATGTCAGTGTGGTTCGCATCACAGTTCGCTTGCTGTCATCTCATGATCAGTATCATCTTGCCACTGCCGCTGCCACCACTTCTTCTACGCGGTTTGGGCTCTAAGGCTTAGGGGTTCAAGGTTTAGGGCTCCCACCTGCTGCTACGATTGCAGCTGTTGCTGTTGCTGCTGCTGATGGGGTTGCTGCTCTGTCCAAAATGTTGCTTTTTCAGGTTCTGGAACCCTAGGGATCCAATTGGGCCAAAGCACGTACTGCTCATAGACGTTACCCTAAACCCAATTCCCTACAGCCCCCAAACCCTCAACCCAAGAACCTTAAACCCTAAATCCTACACCTTATACCCTAAACACAACCCCAAACCCTTAACCTTCAAATCCTATGCCCTAAACCCCAAACCCAAAACCCTAAACCCCAAGTCCTAAACCTCACAAGCCTTAAAACCATGGAGAGCAGGCTTGGAGCGCCATCGAACAAATCTCCATGGGGCGCCAGGAAGCCTCTGACCTTCGTTTAGGGTTTGGGGTTTAGGGTTTAGGGTTTAGGGTTTAGGGTTCAGGGGTTGGGGTTGAGGGTTTAGGGGTTAGGGTTTAGGGTTTAAGGTTTAGGGTGTAGGGTTTAGGGTTTAGGGCCTACTATCCCTAATAACCCCTATCATAAGCCCAACAGACCCTGTTACTAAGCAGAATTACTACGTCAAGAAGGGTTCAGGGGGGCTGAGTAAGTACACGTATACCCCGTTGTAGGCCATGTAGTAACCCCAGTTATCCCTTCTATATATTAACCTCTTTGCTGAATCTCCCTGACCCTCCAAGTACAGTATCATGTAGAATTTAGGGACTGAGGTTGAGTTGTAAGGTTGATGGTGTAGGGCTTCAGGATGAGGATTTCAGGTTTTGGGTGTAGCTTTTAGGGTTCTCTTCGGTGTAAGGTTTAGGTTGTGCAGTTGATACTTATGTACTCCTGCAACTATGACGGTCATTACTAGTAGTGCCTGCAAATGATGTCTTCATAGACGGTGGGCCGTAGCGTGCCATTGTAGCACGCCAAGGATGAATTATTACCCTAAGCCCTTCCCTAAACCCTAAACCCTAAAACTTAATTCCCATTCTGCAGGCTTGCGTGTGAATCTTACCTGTCAACACTGGTCTGTGTGCTTTCAGTTCAGTTTTTTGGGGTTTGTGCTCCTGTTGATATTCATAATCCTGCATGACCGTACCATAATGCCCACGGCAACGGGTACTTGCGGTCATGCAGCTAAAGGGGGGGTTATATAGGGAGTTATATGGGGGACGACTACAGGGCCGATTGAGGGTATACGAGGAGTTTAAACTTTAGCTCAAGTGACGCACAATTTGACTCACTTCTTGTTACAGTACATAGACCCCTTTTTGGCACAACTGTAAAACCCACATAATTAGGTATCAAGCATATTCCCCTTTTAATCTCATGTATCGCTGGGTCCTCAGTGCCCCCCATTTAAGCAACATTTTGGTTTTTGGCTTTCCAGTACCCTGCTGCAGGAGCAATCTAAGCTGCCTGCCTGGCGCCCAGCATGCAAATGCCAGATGAACCTGTGGCGTTCAGGGCTAAGCTTTCATAATTAAGGTAGTTGCAATGTTCCTCCCCATGCCTTCTTTCATCCCCTAGTAATCTTAAACTCGAAGCTCAAAACCGAACATTTCTACGAAGGGCCACTCTCAAACCTCAATCCTAAATCCCTACTTAGGGTGGAAGATTCTCAATTTGCTGCTTTGAGTTTCTGTTGCCTCCATGGCCCAGGCGTGCACAAATCTCAGGGGCGGGGGCAGCCAGGCATCAAAAGTACTAGGGCTTAGGGGAAGAAATCCTAAAGAATAGTCTAGGTGGCATCTTCGGAAACTTCATAATTTCTCCACATGATGCCTCCAATTCTTGTATAGGTAGGTGAACCTATCCGTAAAAAGGATGGGGGGCCTCTACCTACCACCTAGTAGTTCGCAGGTGTATTACATGGTTTTCTTTTTCACGTAGGATATGTGCAGAAAGAGACTGTTCTACCAGACGTCCGCAACTAGTCATGGGTTTCCTAAGATCCCCTTAGAACCCTAAACCCTACACCCTAAACCCTACGCCCTTAACCCTACACCTCAAACCTTAAACCATCGCCATATTGGGATCCCTCCAGAACGGGTAGTATGGGGAGGGTGGAGAGTCATCCGGGGCATCTATGGCATAGGGCCTGCGCCCTGAACTCTACCTGGACCCATGGGGGTTTCAGCGTGTAGGGGTTTACGGTTTAGGTTACACCCTACCTGGACCCTCCAATGTAGTTATTGTTTTGGGTTTGGTAGGGTTTTTGGGTGAGGATTCTCATTAGGACTTCACTGGAGGGTCTGGGTAAGTCCTAAGCCACAGGGGTAGGTTGATCTAGGTTTTGAAGATGTAGCTCCTGGCATTGGGATTTCTCGAATTTAGGATACTCGATACCGCTCCAAGCAATAAGATCCCCATTCTAGGCATTCCCAAAAAAGTGAGAAACCTCCGCTATATCTGTAAGCTTTCGCTGTGGCGAGATCATGAGAGTCCATGTCAGGGTACCGTTTTGATGCTACTTATGCAATCTCCTTTGATTTCCGGACCCCCAATCCCACCATAAACCCTAATAAAACCATTTGCCCGGGTCATTGTTATATAGAATTGATGTTGCGTTTTGTTATGCAAAATCTCCAAACAAGTTTCGTAAGAAATGTGAAGTTGCAACTTTCAATACTCCCGACCAGGAACCTGTTTCAGTATCACCAGGCTTTCGTATACTAAGCCGTATAAGCAAAATGGCATTATGCTATATCATTACCACGACAAGGAACCAGCTTCAGTTTGACTGGGTCAGAACGCTTGGGCTTTGACAGGTCTTCCTCGAACGGTTCACAGCGCTGCTCTCTGAGGACGGAACTTGCAAATCACCTGAGCAAACAGAAGAGTCTGGGTAGCTCATGTGGTGCAACTTAAGTAATGGTAGTTCTCGAAAAGCAGGGCAAATCTCATAAAGTACAGACCCCAAAAATATTGCAATCCTTATACAGGTCTCCCCCCCCCCCCAAAAAAAAAAGTGAACCCGATTTTCTTGAACCCCCCACATGTAACTGCTCGGACTTCCGTTCAGACCAGTCTGTCGAGGTTGGGCTCCCAAACATAGCAGGATGCCAGGTGGAACCGAGTGCTGCTTACTGGGTTCTACCATACATCTCTATCAGTAGTTATATGCATATACATTCATGTAGGTGTTTATATGTATGTATACACATAGAGGAATATATAGATGCAATCTGAGCTTAAAGCACTTGCAGCTAAGTGGGCCCGAGCATTGAAGCCACTTTCGCACGGCTCGATTTGTCTTTCTCTTGCCTGATGTCGACTTTCTATGAAGAGCTGGGCGTGGAGCCTGACATCGATCAAGCCGAGTTGAAGAAAGTGCTCAGGAAGAAGGCTCTGGAATACCATCCCGACAAGCATCCGGAGGAGGAGCAGCAGAAGTGGACCGAGAAGTTCCAGTACTTCCAGCAGATCATGGAGACACTGCAGGATGAGAGCAGCCGCCGTGTCTACGATGAGATTCACCTCAAGCTGGAGCGGACTGGACGCATCCTGGTCCTGATGGACGCCGGGTCCTTGTGACTGAAATCTTGCTTTTTTGAGTTCATGAGAACAACGTACGGAAAAGGGTACGGTAGGCTTGTGATAACTGATTCTTTGCGGCGATCGAAGTAAGTTCCTCATGTGCTGGAGGCCTTTCTTGTTTCAATATTGCAATAGTTCATATTACCATCATTGCTATTGGTTCTTGCTATCTTTAGTCCTTCGAGTAGTCTCAGCACCATGACTACAATCAGAAGTGTTACCATTATCATTGCTTTCTATTAACACTACTGTTGCTGCTGACGACGACGGCGAGCCTTTTTACCGTGATTTTTACCCACATGTGCAATTTGTGTCAGTGTCCCTCCGACTGAGGACATGAATGGCAGCTTGCTCTGCAAGCTTGGTAAGGATGGAAGGGATGCTTGGTTGCTTTTAAGGAGTTTAGAGTAAGTTGCGAAAATTGGTTCCCTCCCTGGGAGTTTACTATAATGGGTTCCCTTTTTATGAGGTTGTTGGGCTACTGTGAGTTTAGAGTTTATGGTTTAGAGCCTCGAGGGCCCTCAAGGCTCTTACGGGTGTTATGTTGGGTTTACTTTTCAGAATAGTAGCAAACCAAGCGGAAAGGACGGCTATCTAAAGAACTTAAGTAAAGTTACCCGAAAAAAGAGCATGTAGTAAATAGTAGGATTTCGTACTTATCGGAACTTGGTTTGAGTACATGCCTTTAACTCCCTGTGGTAAACCTAGACCTTAAACCCAATGTGGCTTTATAGAATCCATATTCTGCCCGTAAAGGAAGCCCGTTTATGACGTATGAAGTTCCTTTAAACCCTAACCCGCCCTAATCCCTAATCTTCAAACCCTAAACCCTAAACTCCTAAACCCCTAACCCCTAAACCCCTAAATCCTAAACCCTTAAACCCTAAATCCCTAAACCCTAAACTCTAATTAATCTTTTTCCCCTAAACCCTGAACTCCTGAACAGCGGCCCAGGATGGTCATCCGGGTACCGCTGCTGGGCACCCAGACCCATGGGCGTCATGAGCAACGCTTTCAAACGCAGTTCAAGGTTTAGGGTTTAGGGTTTAGGGTTTAGGGTTGGGGTAATATTGGGGTAATATTGGGAGAATGGGAAACAGAAATTATTATAAGGTTTAGGCTGCAGGGTTTAAGGTTTACCGTTTGGGGTTAAGGGTTTAGGGCTTATTTTAGGGTTTAGGGGGATGTTATAGGGGTATTGGGCCCAATAATAGTGAATCAAATAGACAAGGCACATGAAATGAGACAGGGAGCATATAGGGATTCAGGTGTCCTTTAATCCCAGGCCCTGTTTTGTGGGGTTCCCGTGCAGACTTGTATGTTTGGGTCTATATTGGAACCCCTGTTTATGAAAACTCCCAGGTGGGTGTTTCTCGAAATTGCAGGCCTTTTTCTGACGTGCTCGTAAGATAGGATGCCTTGTTTAGTCTCGGAAAATGAGACCATATGTTTTTGAGGAAAACGGCAAGGTGAAATGCTGCAATCTTCTGGAATTTAGACGCATGGTGCCTAAGGTGCACTTGAAGCCAAAATTGAATCTGGAAATCCTGCAGATACTCGTACTCTGCTAGAACAGCACGGATCGACGAACCTGCCTGCCCATGCCGGCAGAGCCCCGAAAGCGGAACCTCCTCAAAGCTTGATTACCTCTGAACCCTAAACCGATTAGATCAGAGCAAACCAGGACTTTGTAGACAGAAACAACCGGTTCTGGGTGCGGCCACATGCTGCCGAGTTTCTGGAAGCAATGCTCCACCCGAGGCAGGCGGGTTTAGGGTTAAGGGTTCAGGGGCAGTATATTGGTGTTATACAGGGATAACGGAAGATGAAATGTAAACTAACTACTATAGATAGTATATTGGGGTTATATTGGGACAATGGAAAAGAAAATGGAAACTACTATATAAAATGGTTTAGTAAAGTCTTTTACCGTCCCAGGCTTTTAGAGTCATCAGGGATTGGGCACGAAGGGGCAGACAGCCCTCAGTAACCAAAAGGACTGCCCTTGGCCTCAAAGTGGGATCCCAAACCGTAGCCACAAAAACCCCAACCTTTCCCTAAACCCTAAACCCTAAACCCTACCCCAACCTTTCCGCAGAAAGCCAAAGCCTTAAACCCTAAACCCAACATTGGTCCAGGAGCCTTAGGGTTATCACAGGATAGAGGTTTTTGGGTTTGCCTGGACCCCAAAAGTATGTAAAATGATAGCCTTCATGGCTGTTTTTATGGGTTTAAGGCTATCATTTTACATATTTTGGGGGTTTAGGTAGAGTTTGGGGTCTAGGGTGTGTGGAAGTGGAAGCCCTCCTGACAGATCGAACATCGCCTTTGCCATCTACACAAGCCGGCAGCTTCGCAATGCCCAACCCCAGGCCAGGAGTAGCTAGTTTGAAGTGAACCTTAATCCAAACTCCTCAAATTGGGGTTATATACTGCTTTGTATAGGGAGTATATAACAGGAGTAGCTAATTTGATATGAGCCATAATCTAAACTCCTCAAATTGGGGTTATATACTGGTCTATATAGGGAGTATTTTGAACAAGGGGGAATTAAGGTGCATACTAGGAGTTTTGACTGCAGCTCATACGGGTAGTTTCTTCAAAGCCTTTGCTCTTAAACCCAAAAGGGGCCCCCGCATCATCCCAAGTAATCTCCGAACAACCCTGGACTCTCTAGCGATACCCCTCATTTCAAAGACCCTCCATATCCCTAAGGGTCCAAGGACCCAAAATAATAAGGGTTTTAGTGCCCAAATACTATACTGTTAATGGTATTTGTGCCCCAAAACCCTGTTACTTGGGTCCTTGGACCCTGATGGTATCATAACAAGCCCACTGGGAACTCTGAATGCTAAAGCCTAAAATACTACACTCCCCCAAACTAACATGGAAACCCATATAGTCCCCTTTTTGAAGGACTGTAGCCTTTATAGGGCCCTTTTTGGGTTTCCATGTTAGTTTCTGGGAGTGTAAGCCCTGATACCTTTACCCTCATAACTCTTAGCCCTATCATACCTAGCCCCTAGCGGTGCGCGGCCTGCTACGGTGGATATCGAAAATCCGGCGTGACCCTAAGTACCCTAAACCTGGGGAATTACGGTCCCATAGATTTCTTCGATCATGCAAGATTTTTGGTATCAACAGTACCGGATCAATGTTAGGGATCCTTTATACTTCCTTGGTTATGGGATTCCTTATACTTATGTTAAAAGACCCTAAACCCTAAACCCTAGGACCCTTTTCTCTTCCTACAATAACGTGGCCTAAGAGTAGGTGGACATGCTGTTTGAGAGCCTCGGACTCCGGGGCCTGCAGAAGTCCCTCTTCGCCGTCTTCGCGGGAGATTGAGGGGGGTTTAGGGTTTAGGATTCAGGGTTTAGGGTTTAGGGGTTTTCCTACGAAACAGGCAGGGTTTAGATTTTTGGGGGTTGAGGGTGTACGGTTTAGGGGATATTGGGAGTTAGAGTGTTGGTTTTATGGTTTCAAAGGTTCGGCTCAAGAATTCAGGGAGGGGCTCTCAAAGACCTTCGGGGCACATGGGCCTTGACCCTTGGGCTAAATGGGCATTACCAGAGGATTGCTGGACTCTCCAGCAATCCGAGCTCAACATCAATGAAAATTCTAGATTCAATGTACTGTTCCGGGGCAGGGGTCACAAGCTCTTTTGGGCTGAAAAGCCGTCAGCAAGAACACGGACTCTAAAGATGATAAGGTCTAGGCTTATGTTGGTTCAAGGTGTAGTCTCAAATCGGAAGAGTGTCAATAGTATGAGGCCTTTCTATTTTAAATCACTGGTCCCGGTTCCGTGGCACCCAATGTTTTGATGGGTTATTTCATCATTGAAGACCTCGGATTAGGGATTGGGTTTAGGGGTTTAGGGTTTAGGGTTTAGGGGGGTCATGTTGAGCAACTTCCTCATCTTGAGAGGAGATGAGTTCTCTGTGCCAGACCCATCTGCCGGGCCCTACAAGTCCAAGAGGAGCTTGCCGAGAATTTGGCGAGATCGTAGGACCTGTGCAGCTCAAAACGTGAAGTTTGACGTGTGCAACACGGTGAACTTGGACAACGAGGTTTCAAAGCTCCAGGAACATTTGGAGAATGGTATTGTCGTTCCCACCTTTGCTGCAGCTCACCTCGGCAGGGAGGACAACGTCTTGCTGTCCTTGAAGGACTACCTTACCACCCTTGCCAAGCAATGCCATGGAGATGTTCGCGAGTACATGAAGTTTTTCCCTTTCTCTGAGGGTGGAAGCTCCATGTCTCGGGCGCTCCCTCCAGTGTCTGCGTTCGAAGACGAGGATGATGAGGTCGTAACCTTGCTGCAGCGCCTCTCGAAGATTTCGCTTGGATCTGCCAAAGCCCCACATGGCAAGGAGGGCGAGGGCAAGACGTGTAGCAAGGGAGGGTACCAGCCGTGAAGTTCAAGCGCCGCAGGCATCAAAATGCTCAGTGGCCAGGCAAGTCGTCAGTGATTTGCCTTCGTAGAGAGTCCAAGTACCCAATCATTAGGTACTTGGGTTTTGGGTAATAGTAATTATCGTATGGGTTTTGGGTAAGTATCTGATTGTCGGGTACTTGGACCCTCAGGGCTTGTTTTTTAGTGAGCGCTTCTCGGGAGATGCCCGATGCTAAGCGCATTGTACACTTCTCAAGCCATTCCGGGCTTAAGTTGACTATGTCTTCCAAAAGAGTTCGAGCGACGAGAAAAAAGAAGTCTGAACCGGGATTCACACGCCAGAAAGTCCTGCACAACTGTCATCAGTTGCAATCCAAGAATGGTGTATATTCATTCTTACTGAATAAGTGAGACCAATACCATTGTACCCAGTAGTAGAAGGCGCACGTAGACCCGAATGTGAACAAGATCTCGGCATTCCGCGATTACGATGGGACTTGTGAGACTTTTGTGCTGTGTCCTGGCGGCTGGCACCCCCCCAGTTCTCAGACACGAATACAGGAGCCACAATCTAAAACTCCTTAAAGAGGGTTATACAGGGGACTATATAGGGGATTATATTAGGGCTTATTCGGGGGATACTAGGAGTTTTGACGATGGCTCACACGAACACCTAATGCTATGCACTGAACATTTTGGAGTTGGCTAATGTAGAACCACGATTAATAAACCCCTCCTTTTACAGGCCTTAATATATTTGTATATATACATATAGTAGGATCCCTATTATGAATTATATTCCCTATCAAGGGGAGGGGGTTTATTAATCAGGGGTCTAGGCTACTTATTCTTAGTCCTTTCTTCCATACTTTAGACACGATGAAACCTGTAACCCAACCTTGACTACAATTTTCATGGAGGTATAGTCCCTGATATGCAGGAGGATTCTATGCTTCGTTTGGGTAGAGCCTTTTTTCCAAAGAACATAATCTCATTGGCGTCAACCACCAAAAAC